AGGTAACAACCGTTGCGCGCCACAGTATACAGTATACAACAAATAATCTCGTCCAAAACGCTCTGGAACGATTTGTCTTCATTTTGCAGCCATCGTGCTACCTTGCGGAGCGCTGAATGAATGAACGTGGCTCTCTAGCCACGGCGAGCTACGGCCACGAGCAAGTTCCACGGCCTAGACCCAAGGAGTGACCCGACAAGCGTCGATTGATGAACGGAATCCTGCACCGCCCGCGCGACCGGGGTGCTAGAGCAAACTTCCCCCCCCCCCTGCGCCTGGCCGATTCAATGTTGGTTGGCATCGCCAGCGGGGCGCAGGAACGCAGGAGTTCGGCCAGTCGACGGTCGACAAAGTGCGGGCAAGGGTGGTGCTCACAAAAATCCACCTTCAAAAAAAGCAGAATGTTGTCCATCAGCCGTTGGGCCCCTCCTGAATCGAAAGCGGTCTTTTATTCGGCGTCTTTCGGCTGCACGTATGCGGGGCCCGAACATATACACCACCACAAGGCGGCCATCGGAAAGGAACTAATCCTGCAGGCGACCGCCCTGACAGGGGTGCCACTGCCTGCCCCCGCCAAGCGCAACTACTTGCCACGTGGTCGTGCGCGCAGATGGCGGCCGCATTCGGTCGCGAAAAATTGCTCCCAAGCAACACGGTGTTGTATAAAAACGATGGACCCCCTGTAATTTCATACACCACCCCGAAAATATTCACCACGTGAATGTGTTGTGTTTTGCGCATGCAGCCGCGTGCCCAAATGACGCTGCACACGCGACGTGTCATTACCACGAGATTTGACGCACCCTGCAACCCCCCGCCGAAACAATACTGCGATCACCCCCCATGACAGAAAACCAGCTCGCGGTGTTGATGTATATGCGTGGGTCCCAGAACGTACGAGTGACCCTCGGCACGAGTGACCTGTGGTGCGCGGCCTGGGAGGGCGCGAGGGGGCCAAACCCAAGCTCGCAGGCCGGTGCTATCGCATCGTACTCAGCGATCGGAGGGCCCCACCAAAGATCACTTCGGTGCCTCGAGTCTTGAGTCGAGCCTTGGCCCCTCCCCTCCCGCGAGCCACGCCTGCCGGCACCCGCCCGCGGGATCTCGCCAGCGAAGACCGGGCAGAGCCTCCCAGATCTCCCCGCGCGCGGTGCGGCCACCGCCGGCCGCCCGCAGGCGCCGTGCCGTGGGCTGGGGAGCTCCATTCTCTTCTGCCACAGGACAGCTGCTCAGGGGCCCCAAGGAGTCTCGGGGCCCCTGAGCGCAGCTCCCGCTCCTCCCGACGCCGCCCGACGTCGACACGGCGATGCAGGCAAGCTTCTGCAGCACGGAGCACTACAGGAGGAACGAAGCCACTCTGTGGCACCAGAAGAACCTGGGTGTACCAGGAACAATCACGGAGCGATCCAAGAAACAGCAAGGCACTTCCGAACCCAAAGAAGTCCTTTTCAGCATCTTGGCTGTAAGGGAACCCGAAATCCAATTGACCCTGGTCACGCCGCAGGGATGCGGTCGGGAACTGTTTCCCAGCGTGTCGTGGAGGCGGCACCTGCGACGCGCCATGCCCTGCGAGCTGATGGCGTGTCGTTCTGCCTCGCGGGGCGGGAGGCTGGGGAAAGTTTGGGACGTTGACGCCCAAGGACTTGGACGTGGTTAGTGTGTCGCGCCGGAGCGTGGTGACCCAGAACCGGCGGCGCGACACGATAAGCCCACGTTTCTGACCGCAAGCTCGTCCAGCATTCGGCGACCCCCGTCTGCGCGTGGCCATCTCGGCAGGCCAGCCCCCTCTCGAGCCTCCACCTCCCTGCCACCCTCCGTCCAGCTAGGGGATGAAACGGGCTGGGTAGGCCCCAAGCGTGTCCACGGGGCAAGGGGGGGGGGGGGGGGGTCCAGCGGGGCCTGGCTTGGTCTGGGCCCCCTCCCCCCCAGCAGGAAGAGAAACCTGCCCGACCATACACGCAACGAGGGAGACAGAGGATGGGACGGGCCAGCCTGGCGGCGGTCTCGGCTCCTCTCCTCCGCCCCCTCTTCCTCCTCCTCCTCCTCCTCCTCCTCCTCCTCCTCCTCCTCCTCCTCCTTCTCTTCCTCCTCCTCCTCCTCCTCCTCCAGACCCAGGGCCCAGCTTCAAGGCTTTGGCTCCTGCAGCACATATCGGCCAGCCTGGCCCGATCCCCCGACCCTGCCCGTGCATCCGCGCTTCGAGCCGAGGAGTGCGTAGCACCCCGCAATTGCGGATAGGGGACCGCGGGATCGTCGACAGTCTGCGAGACTCTAAAGAAGCTCGCGGCAGGCGCCGATTCTTCACACATAACACAACGAGACGTTCTTCGTCTAAGCGACGTAGATCAGACGGGAGTCGTTGTTTCTGCACCAAGCAACAGCAAAGTTCGAGCAGGAAGACTTTCCCTGATGAGCCCCGAGGGGGCACTTCAATTGAAAAACACAATGTGCACCAGCGGGGGGGAGCAACAACAAGTATTTTCCAAGAGTGAGAATTCAATTAACATCAGCACGACTGTGGTGTAAGACCGTTCGGCCCGCTCACTGCGATGATCCCGATCGTCCTCCGCTCTGGCTGAGGTCGGCCCCCGAATCGCTCCCGGATGCTGTCATGGACCAGCTTGTCGGCCGAATCTGGTCATGATGGCTTGGTTGGGCCCCCCCTGCGGCGAGACAGGCAGAGCATTACTCTTGCCTAATATCGAAACAGCGGCAACGCAGGTCAACAATCGGTGCCGATCCGCTCAGCAGCCGCTGGAGAGCCGCACGCGGAGGCCTGGAGCACAGAGTGGGGAGATACGAATCAACCCAAGAAGGTCCTCGTCCTCTCTCTACTCCCCTTTCTCCCTTCCCCATGCAGAGACGCCTGGAGCATTATTCAAAGGAGGCAGTGGCCCCCAAAGGAATAGGAGCAGGAAGCACGGCTGCGGTGCAGATCGAGCGCCGCGGGACCAGCAGTTGGGGTGCCTTGACGGTTTCTGGCCGAGAAGGAGAAGGCCGAAAGGGAATTAGATGGGAAGGCGCGGGACGACGACGACGATAAGGAGGAGGAGGAAGGGGGACGATGATATTGATGTTGCTGCTGATGGTGATGACGATGATCTTGCTGCTGATGATGCTGATGATACTGATACTGATACTGACACTGATGATGATGATGATGATGATGATGATGATGATGATGATGATGATGATAGGTGCAGGAGTGGAGGAGTGGCAGGGGAGATGACGAAGTGCGAGGGCAGACAATCCACAGTCGAAGCTGAACAGACACCGGAGCAAGAACGAGGCCAAGCCAGGCTGGGCTGGACCTGTCGCTGACGCACATGCTCTCTGAGCCTGGCCTGAAGGTGAAAGTGCGCGTCACTGAATTCAGTCGCAATGCATGGTCTTCCCCCTCCGCCTCCACCTTCCCACTTGCCCTCCTCCTGCTCCTCTGCCGTTGCACGATGATCACTGGGGCAGATCACGCTCACAGCCGCGTAGCTAGTTGGGACGGCTCCAAATGCCCGACACGGTGTCCTTGACCGCCGCCTCGGAAAAGATGAAGCCGAGCGTCTGCTCGGCGCGTGAGCCTTTCACCAGAGCTCTCCTTTGGACACACGGCTCTGAGACGGCGGCGCTGATGGCAGACGATAGTCGATGGTTGGTCCTTTGCCACGCGAGGAAGCGCAGGAGGAGGTCGAGAAGGGTTAACCCCCCTGACAGAATTGCATTCGCGAGCGAGGCCAGCAAATTAAAGGCATTCGCGCGATCGATCAACCTGGCAACCGCAAGTAGACCAAAAGGAACCGCCATGCTAGACTTCCCTACCAACCGATTTGTTCGAACGCTGATCCTGTCATCGTACCTTTCAGGAGGCCCCATTCACTGTTCAAGCTGCGCCTCCGCATGAGAAGGTATAGCTCCCCTGCACTCGATGTGGTGCCATGAAGAATCCGCCGGCCCTGTCGGCGTGTGTGAGGGGCTTCTCCGTTCGCGTCGTGCTTTCTTTCCTGCTCGACTTTCTCTAGCCGCATCCAGCTTCCACTCACCGTTCTCCCTCTCTCCGTCAGCAGAGTCGTCTTCCTTGCACATGCCGTGCCAAGCAATTGATTGAACGTCGTCAATACTTCGAAGGGAAGCCCCTTCCCTTTTCCCTTCCCCGGTGCGGGAAGGGGGGGGGCCGGACCCGGGGGGGTTCCCGGGGGGGGCCCGGGGACCCCCCCCTCCCAAATCCGACTCCCCCGGCAGCCTTCGAGAAAGCCCGGAGAGCGTCGCGAGGAGGTTCTCGTACTCATCCTCCTCCTCCCCCTTCTCCTCCCGCGCTCGCGCCTCCGCAGCTGTCCTGGTCTCCCCGCGCGGGGGCAACCTGAGTGGACCTCATGTGGGCCCATCGGGCCAGGCTTTGAGGCCTGGCGGTGGCTTACCTTGGGTAAGCTTCTGGAGAGCCTTGATGCCACCTTCTGTTGGTGGTGCACAGGGCTCCCTGAATTTCTTGGCTGCACGGATGGTCCATGCTCCACATCGGGAGCACCAAAGGACACCATTCAACTTCTTGATGAACGGCCCGTGGGACGGGTGAAAACGGTTTTGCGGCCCTGGGGGGACGCAGGGGGTCTTCAGCCACCTGGGTGTTCTCTTGATGACACTACCTTGCTTGCCACAGGCGAAGCAAGCAATCTGGAAAAGGGGAGGGACAGGAGCAGCGGAGAGGGAGTGGGGCGTCCTAGACAGCTCGACCTGCAACGCTGCTACACTGCGCTCCACCTTCACTTTCCTACGGTTCTCCTTGACATCCTCATCCTCCTCGAGGCCCAGTGGGTCTTTGTGACTCCAGTAGTGGCTCTGAACTGCTGCCAATCTGTCCCTGATGAGATCGGCGTGAATGTCGGTGCCTTGGAGGTGCCGAACGAGGGGCCCGGGGACTTGACGCCACTGTGCTGCTTCCGAAGCGAGAATGTTGGCATGGCCATTGAGGTGTAGGGCCCAGGGAGGCTCTCGAGCGGCTTCTTCTTCCGTGGGGTGGCTTTTCACTTTGTAGAAGATCGTGCTGTCCCGTCGGTTTTTGGCCTGGGTCCAGAACTTCTGCCAAGTGAACTCCCCTCCCCCTTCTCCTCCTCCTCCTCCTCCTCCTGCTCCTCCTCCCCCTCCTCCTCCTCCTCCTCCTTCTCCTCCTCCCTCCTCCCCCTCCTCCTCCTCGTCCTCGTGCTCGTCCCTATCCTCCTCCTCCTCGTCCTCCTCCTCTTCTTCCTCCTCCTCCTCCTCCTCCTCCTCCTTCGCTTCCTCCTCCCCCATCCTAGCCCCTTCGATCAGGGTCGGCGGCACCGGCCATCAGGCCTGTCCAACCTTGGAGGAAGGAGTGAAACCTCGGTTAGGTCTCAGTTGCACCCCGATGCACAAAGAGCGCCATGGGAAGGAAGATACACGAACGAACCTCAGGAAGGTCGAGCCCCTCTCGTCACCAAAGAGGACCTTATCATCACACGCTGACTGTAAAATCCAAGACGTGTCTAAGCTCGTGACCACCAGCCTTCGCAGCCGATGACAGCGCGAACCTCCCTCCGAACACCGTGGCTGGCACCTTCCGCCTGCATGGCATAGGAGGAGGAGGAGGAGGAGCAGCGTACCAACTCACAAAGAAATGATGAACAAGAATGGTCCAACATACGGCAGGTTCGTGTCGTGCCGACCCCAGCGTTGGTTTTTGACACCGCAGGGATCGTTCAACCTTGAACGATCGGCCGCTGCCGCAACGTCCGATCGTTCAACATCGATCGATTCTGGGTCGCGGGCGGCGTTCAACCTTGAACGCCCGCGCTGGGGTCGCCGCTGGTCGACACGACGCAAACCTACCGTACCCGCAGTCATTGCGCTCCCACTGACACTCCGCATGGGGCTCGTGGAGCAGCCTCGGGGGGGCACAGGTTCGTATGCCCGTCCAGGGAGGACTGCGTCGACGCTGTGCAGAGCGTAGCTGGGAGCGCTTTTCCGTGTCGCGGTCGGCTCTGCAAAACCAGCGTTTCGCTCGAGACATACTCAACAAATTCTGAAACCAAGCGTTTCGCTCGAGACATCCCCAACTCTGCAAAACCAGCGTTTCGCTCGAGACATCCTCAACAAATTCTGAAAAACAAGCGTTTCGCTCGAGACATCCTCAAACATAATTCCGCCGGTGCACCACAAGGAACGCTGAATGAGGAACCACGGGGCTTGCCTGGTCACGGCGAGCCTCGGCCACGAATGGGCTATGGAAGCCCGAAGCCCTCCGGAGCCGAAAGTGGTGCTGATTGCAGCGTCTTGACTGCAGCATGCCCGTCAGGAAAGGTCGTGCCGACAATGCTGCCATCACGCTCAACATCTAAGAAACCTGGCATCTGATGCCGCAGACGGCCCCGAGCGGACGGAACTCCCCGTGAGCTGCTCAGCGATCCTCGTAGGATCTGCCGCATACAGCTGTGCGCATTCGTGCATGTGGTCGCTGCGCGATCCGCAGCGCCGAGGCTCGAGTCTGGAGGTCTTTGCACGCTCCAGGGTCAGGGATAATTAAACCAATAAGCGTGGTCAAGGCCTGAGAGATCTCTTGGTTTCGTCGCGTCAATTGCAAAATCTGCGATGTCGCATGGGGAAAACAGGCTGCAGAACCGACACCCCCCTGTCGCGATCCGCACAGTCTCCGCCAAAGTAATTACGATGTAAGCCATGCGCGATCTGGTCGGAGGCTGACCGTAAATCTGCACAGAACCACTGCGCCTGTCGGCTGTCTGGCAGAGTGTCTGTAGTGTTCTGGGGCCTCCTCCTCGTCGCAAGGTCCTGCAAAAAGGCTCCCCCGGGCCCACCCCCCAGGGGGGGGACCTAGGGCCTGAGGGGACACCCCTCTCCAAACATGTGATGTCTTGATTTTCTCAATATGCGGTCCCTGGATGTCCCGACCCTTTCCCCAAAGTCGGCTTTGAGTCCCGAGCCGTTTTTTGACGGTCCTGGGGCCCACCGAGGGCCCAAGGATATTGAAAGCTGCCAAAAAACCATGCGTTGTTTTATATAAAGAAGACCACGCATGTCTGCCCCCCGCCCGTTCCCCCCCCCAAGATGGGCCGAGACCACCTCAAGAGAACCCTAAAACGGCCTGGAAACGACCCGACCGCCTGGGTTCCCTTCGCCCGAGGGTCGCTTCGCCCAAGTGTCGTTTCGCACGGGTTCGCTTCGCCGGGGGTTCGCGATTGCTTCGACTGGGGTTCGCTTCGCCGGGTTCGCTGGTTCGCTTCGCCTGGTTCGGTTCGCTTAGTTTGCGTCGGCCGCGGGTTTGGTTTCCTGGGGGGTCGCTTCGCCCGGGTTGGCTTCGCCCGGGGTTCGCTCCGCCCGAGTTTGCGCCGCCTGGTTCGCGTCGCCGGGGTTCGCTTCGCCTGGTTCGCTTCGCCCGGGTTCCCTTCGCCGGGTCGCTTCGCACTGGGGTCGTTTCGCACGGGTTTGCTTCGCCCAGGGTTCGCTTCGCCACGGATTCGTCTCGTGCGGGCTCGCTTCCAGGGCGCCTTGTCGCTTGGACGTCGCCTGGCCTGGGGCGCTGCGCTCAGACGTCTGCTCTGCACGATGCCCCGAGGTGGCACGGAAGGTCCTGCTGCGACACATCTGGCCCAATCGTGGCGCAGGGGCGGCTGCGCCTGCGCGCGATACGTGTACTATGGTGTGCCGCCCAGTACCCGCCACCCACCGCCCGCCCCCCGTTCGCTTCTGCCAAGCAGAACCCATGTGCTCAACAGCCTCCGTGTGCAACGCGGCACCCACCCACTACGCAGCCTCCGTCTCCAACACAACGCCCATGTGCTACACAACCTCCACCTGCAACACAACACCCGTTTACTACACATGGTCCCGCTGCAAGAAAGCAAACTTCGGAGTTCTATTCGAATCCAAACCCCGCCTGCCGTCCACCGACGCCCGCCCTGCTCGAGACTGCAAGCACAACGCGCGTCTACTGAACAGCCCCCGCCTACCCATCTACTACACGCCACCCATCTACTGAACAGCCTCCCGCTGAAGGATAGCATTCTTAAGAATTCAATGGGAATCCAGGCCCCGCCGTCGCCCGCCCACCGCCCCGCGTCCTTACAACGAAACGCCCATCTACTCCACAGCCCCGTGCGCAACACAACACCAATTCACCACAGCCCCGTGCGCAACATAACACCAATTTACTACACAACCACCACCATCAACGCAACGCCCACCCACGACACACAGCCTCCTGCTGCAAAAGAGCACTCGCAGGAGTTCTATTGGAACCCCGACCCCGCCCGACGCCCGCAGCCCGCCCTCCAACCCCCCGCTCACGACTGTACGCGCAACACCCATGCTACTGAACAGCCCCCGTCTGCGACACAGTACCCACACATCTACGACACGTCACCCATCTACTCGACAACGCCCCATTGCAAGAGGGTGCCCTTCCGAATTCGGTTAAAATGCCGACCCCGCCCGCCGCCCGCCGCCGCCAATCGCTCACCGCCCGCCCCGCGCGCTCGCAACGAAACACTGATCTACTCCACAGCCCCCGTCCGCAACACGACACCCATCTACTACGCAGCTTTCACCTGCAACGGAACGCCCATCTACTGCACAGCCTCCCGCTTGAGGGGGGCATCCTTCGGAGTTCCACGAAAATCCAGACCCCGCCCGCCGCCCGCCCCGCTCGCGACCTTAACACAACACCCATCTACTCAACAGCCCCCGCCTGTGACACAACACCCATCCACTGCACTTCACCCATCCACCCAGCAGCCCTCCGCTGCAAGATAACATCCTTAAGAGTTAGAATTCTATTGCGATCCTGATCCGCCCGCCGTCCGCCACCGCCCACCAACCGCCCCGCGGCTTTGCAACGACATGCCCATCTACTCCATAGCTGAGTGGTTCCTGGAAACGACAACGCAATTGTTCATGCTTTCGCGCAACATCTTTGTTCCCGGTTCCAGCGCCGTTTTGTCCAGTTCCGCCGCCGTCCCCGTGGCAATTTCCCGTTTCGGCGAACTGTTGTTTGCATCGTTTTCATGATGACGATCAAAAGTTCTGGAAACGGTGACAGAAGACCCTGACGTTTACAAGAACCATTATGCTCCACTACCCCAATTCGCACCACAACGAACATCTACTACACGGCCTCCGCCTTCAACACAACACCTGCCCACAACACAACCTCCTCTTGTAAAATTATAAAAGAGCACCTGAGGAGTTATACTGCAGTCCCGGCCCCGCTCGCCCGCCGCTGCCCACCGCCCGCCGTCCGCCCCGCTCGTTCTGCAAGCACAACACCCGTACACTCGACAGGCCACGTCCGCAACGCAATACTCATCTACTACGCAGCCTCCGTCTCCAACACGAAAATCCACCCACTACACAGCCTGCGACGACACCCACAATAACAACACCCACCCACCCCAAAACCCACCCACAACGCACACTACCCATCCACAACAAGACCTCGGCCGCCGCCCGCCTCGCTCGCGACTGCAAGCACAACGCGCGTCTACTCAACAGCCCCTGCCTGCGGCACGGCACCCATCTACTACACGCCACCCATCTACTCAACAGCCTCCCGTTGAAAGATAGCATCCCTAAGAGATTGTTGAACTATAGTATGTTTGAAAGCTTTGCTTAAATCCTTTTCCCGCCCGCGGCCCGCCGCCGAGTGCACATCTACTCGAGTGCACATCTACTCGGAGTGCACATCTACTCGGAGTGCATTAAATCGAAGCGCACATCTACTCCACAACCGTCGAGTTCATCACAACACCGATTTACTACACAACCTCAAACAACGACCACCCACTAACAAACTCACCGTTTCCTGATGAGCAAACACATCGTCTGCCCGCTCACCGATCGTCGCCCACTGCCCTCCGACGTTCGCCCGCCGCCCACCCCGCGGCTTTGCACAGAAACACACATCTACTCCACAGCTCCCGTGCTCAACGCAGCATCCATCTACTACGCAGCCCTCGTCTCCAACACAACGCCCGACGACTACACGGCCTCCTGCTGCTCACAAGAGCCCCTAGGAATTCTAGTAAAATCCAAACAGCGCCGCCGCCCGCCACCTGCCGCCAGCCGCTGCCCGCCGCCCGCCTCGCTCGCTTCTGCAAAAATTACCACGCCAACCGGCGAAGCGAACCCTATGCGAAGCCCCGGCGAAGCGAACCCTATGCGAAGCGAACTGGGCGAATCGAACCTCCGGCGAAGCAAACCACGGCGAGACGACCCCCGGGCGAAGCAACCCCCGGCGGAACAACCCCCGACGAAGCGGACCCGGCGGAGGAACCCCGACAACGCGAACCCTTCCGGCGAAGCGAACCCTTCTGGCGAAGCGAACCCTGGCGAGGCGAACCCTGGCAAAGAGCACCGCGGGCGGAGCGAACCCTGGCGAAGCGAACCCCAGGCGAAGCGAACCCCGGGCTGAAGCGAATCCCCGGCGAAGCGAACCCCCCTGGCGAAGCAAACCCCCCCAGCGAGGCGAAGCGGGCCAGAGCGGGACGGGCGGAGCGAAGTTCGGGCGACCGGGACGCTCGCCCTGCCCTTGGCGTGGACAGGTGGGGCAGCA